AGTTCCTCCCCCCCCCCCCCCCCCCCCCCCCCCTTTTTCTCTTCTCCTCCTCTGAGTGGTTAAGGCCACAAGTTTTCAATACTTTAAAAGATAGAATTTTTTTTAGTAGTCCTATTGAATCCTATCATATGTTCATATTTCTTCCTGCTTATCATCTTCCCCTTTCTCTCCCCTTACCAGAAAAAAAAAAAAAAAAGGCTCTGCCTCTCTCACCCAGCACCACCCAAAAAACTTAGTCTCCCACCTACCACGGAGCCAAAAATATAATATAAAGCCCTTCCTCCGTAGTTGGTGTGGGGATTAATCATTCTTGTTCAATTCTCCGCATGTATGGCAGTAGAGGCTTGTCATTGATGATTACATTGTGATATTACAGGTAATTGCTGTAGGGCCCGGTCCTCTGGATGAGGAAGGTAACAGGAAATCATTATCAGTTTCCCCAGGAAACACAGTTCTCTACTCAAAATATGCAGGGAATGACTTCAAAGGAGCTGATGGTTCTGATTACATAGCTTTGAGGGCATCTGATGTGATGGCTGTGCTTTCATAGTTGTCTGGCTGTACGTGCTTTTGGTTTATCATATCAAAGTTTGAAACATGAGGGACATCGTGTTTGCTAGTTAGTGATTGTGCTCCCATTTGTAACTGTTATGCGATATATGCCCTGCCCAATTGAGTTTTGTGGTGAATGCTTGCTATCTGTGTGTGTGGCTTTGGCTCTACTGGTTGATAGACATTTAAGTCTCCTGAAAACACGAACGCTAGTAGTGTTTCTCATCTGCTTAGGTTTTTGAGTTGCTGTTTGGATTTGAATCATATACTTCATTTTGCAATTTTAGCAAACGTGAATGACAAAATGAAATTGGGGCCCACTGAAATCAAACTGTTTGGATTGCTAAATTGCCTACTTTCTATTGTTAGAGCTACCTTTTATGTTTGAAGTGGCTTCTTTTATGGGATGAGTTGCTATACTTGTGACTAGAAGTAACAAATGGAGGGTTTGGGTAGGTTATGGGGTTGAGTTAAACTGGATTGGATTAAAATAAATTTAATTTATTTTTACTCGCATATTAAATGGGTTATAATAGGTTGGATTAATTTCATTAATCTATAAAATAACTAAAATTTTTAATAAAATTATATTAGTATACCAAAGTATAAACACATTATCACACTAAAAAACGTATATATACACACACATTGTCACACTAAAATATAGAACATATATAGAGACACACACACACACTAATATATTAAAGCATGCATACATATTAATACACTAAAATTATACATTGATATATTAAAATATATACTAATATGCTAAAAATATACACACACTAATACATTAAAAATATATACACATATATATTAACATACAAAAAATAGAAATACATTTAATAAAAAACTAAAATATGTACACATAATGGGTCGCGTTGACCGTGGATCATGAGTTGACCCATGAATCATGGAGTGACCCACGGGATGGGTTGTGGGTCATGGTGTGGGTTTGTGTATTAGTGTATATGTGTGTATTTTTTGGTGTATCAGTGTGTATTTTTTTTATATATTAATTTATTTATTTGATTTTATTACTTATGTTATTAATAAAAAAATAAATATTTAACTCAATGGGTATACATTTGTAATTCATCTTGACCTGCTTAATTAAAATGAATTATATCACCCAATCTATTTAAAACCTCCATTAATTAATATAAGCACAAAATTTATTTATTTATGAACAAATTGAGCGAGTTAATAGATAATGGATTAAAATTGACACCTTTACTTGTGACTGTGCAGCGGAGCCAATCAATTGACACTACCGAATCATAGGCCACACAACGTTCTACCGATACGTATTCTTTTTGGAAGCAGGTAAAGCGTGAAGTGCGGAATAACTACTGAGAATTGGCTTTCTCAGTCACCAGAGTGACTGTCCAGTTGTGATCTGGTAGAATAAGCTTTGACAACCCTTAAATCTAGTTTCAGTTTCAGAGATTGTTATGCAATTACAAACAAAAGAATGAATTCCTTTCAAAAGAAAGACCAGTTTGGAAAACTGAACCGCTGGTGGTGCTAATGGTCCTCACTGGCATGCCTGAACGAACACAAACGGTCGTTGACATTTAACAGCATTTGTATTTCTTTGATCTGATAACTCTGCCATGCACAAATACAATCAAGTTAAAAAAGTGAGGACTCTATGTAATTAATATCTAAAAAATTCACTTCACATAATTGCACTGTCTACTTCCTGCTCAGTGAAACATTTTACACTAACCTTACGGAAAAAAAGAACAAAAAAAAAATTTACACTTGATGCAACAAACTGCAATAAAAGCAGATCCCAAGATTGAGAAGTTGGATTAGTTAGTCATTTTCGTACCACCTTCAGCATGAGCTCCGAGCACTCGATGCCAAACAGCTCAGATCCCTATCCATGGAATGGGGACTTGATGCCATGTATAAGCAGGAAGAGAATAGTACAATTCTGTAACTACAATTTCCTTGGTTCCTTATCATCATCAGACACAGTATTGTCTGTTCACCTCATGCTTAGTGCTTAAAAAGGCATTGACCAGATTCAGTAACATTTTTTCAAGATGGCAGGCTGATGCCAACAGCCAGGACCCAGTTTGTCGAATAGGTCCCACTTATCGATTGAATGAGGCCGCCAAGTTATCATCATAGTGTACTCTCCATGCATTCTCACTGTCACTCCCGCTGCAAGCTTGATTGGGAACAGGAACATGACCCAGATCTCCATCCAAACTCATCTGCTGAACCTCGGCAGATGACAGTATCTTTATGCTCTGAACACAGCTCACAAACTCCCTAAAAGCAATTTGACAAGAGAAACTTGAGAAAAGTAAACTGGAAACAAAATATACTAATAGGGACCAACTTGATGCTCCACTTACTCCCAAGGATCGTCACCAACAAGTAGTATGTCATTTTCATGATCAACATAAACAAGTTTCCATTCAGTTCTTTGTGGATCTTCCAGTTGCCCTTCAATCCCAAACATACGAGCGAGATCATGCCTGAGATCGTCATACCCCTTATAACGAGTGACATCAATAGTTCTTCCGACTGAGCCACGTTTTTGAACCTACAAGAGTTTTAACCAGTACTAGGCCATTATTAATTTTCTCAAACAAGGAAGGAGAATACATTTGAACACCAAATCATCTTCGTTTCTTTCAAATGTATCTCAGACAGAATAAGGATGTTCAAACCTTTGTGTATGTTCGCATACGTTGAGTTTGGTTAGGCCATAACCCACTGTTTAAAACCCCAGCCTCATTGATGGTGACTTCATTTGAACATCCTGGCTTGAAACTGATGTCAGGCACCCCAAAAGCAGTGGATAACTCTGTCTCAATATCTCTTGGGGTACCACCATAGTTAGAAAGCAAGTTTTGGACATCCTTTGCAGAGTCAAAACCCCTCGACAGCAAAGCATCAGGTGGCAAATCATCTATGTTGTTGGCCGCAGAAGGAAAATTGTTCCTAGAATGTGACTGAACATCACCATCTAAACAAATGCCAGGGAGTGAAATATTCGGATGGGGGCCACCAGCATCCAAGCAATACGATGTTGCAGATGAGGAGGCTTCCAAATGGTCACTAGCAGTACCTTTGTATTTAGGCTGCTCCAATACTTTTGAGCTTGGCAATTCATGTTTGATGCGATCTTGAACCAGATTCGTAGCATGATCAACGACCAAATTCTCCACCAACTGTGCTGGCCCTTGTTGGTTCCTGATCAGGAAATTTGGTGGGGATACCTGGCAATTATTTGTAGAAGGCGATGTTGAACACGATGGAGCATCCCCATCAGTAGGACCAGAATGGGCTCTTAGTGTAGCTGCTGGTTTGTGTTGGGCCTGGAGTTGATTCACATGAAACTGTGGTGATTGCATAAGTGTTGATACCGAAAAGCTGCTGCCGTTAAGTTGCTGCTGAGACAAAGGGAGCTGCTGTGACTGTCGGTTTTGTTGAAGGGACTGCTGTTGCAGAGGAAGCTGAGGCTCCAAGCGAGCGCTTGCCGGGGACAGCAACTGCTGTTGCTGTTGCTGCAACTTCAGCAGCATCTGTAGTTGCAGCTGCTGCTCTGAGAGACTCTGTTGCGGTGTGTGTTGCATTTGTGGCCTTTGCAACCAGCTCTGCTGCAACACCTGTAGTGGTGCTTGTTGCATTTGTGTCAGCTGTTGCTGGGACCTTTGTAAGAGGCTAGTCTGTTGTTCTATTTGTTGCTGAAACTGCAAGTCTTGAGGCAAGGCTGTCAGCTGAAATGAACTCCTATTAGATGAGGAGATGCTTTGCTGGGATTGTGTATTCCCCGTTAGAAATTGTTGCTGTTGAAGCTGAGAGCTTATTACCGGCTGCTGTAAATTTTGAGGGATCAGATTAGGAGGTAAACCATTATTTACAGGAGCTGATTGCATTATCTGTTGTTGCTGTTGTTGTTGTTGTTGTTGTTGTTGTTGTTGTGGTGGTGGATGTTGTTGCTGCTGTAGCTGCTGTTGTGACTGCTGTCGCGGCTGGGGCTGCAGCTGTGCTTGTTGCTGTTGCTGTGGATTGACAGAAGACTGCAGCAATTGCTGGAGCTGCTGCTGTTGAGGCCAAGTCAGAGATGGCTGCTGGAGCTTACCAACTTGTTGATTTTGTGGATTCACTTCGCTGTGGAGGGTTGGTGCAGCAAGGTTAGGGGCTTGAAAGTTCAACAACTTAGAATGGTCATCATCCCTAAGGTTACCGTGCAGGATATTTGAGGAAACAATGGGAGGAAATAGTCCTGATTGAGCAGTAGAGAACTTATGATTCTGTTGCATGCTCATCCACTGGACTAAACTCAAACCAGGGAAGATTGAGTTTGAGGCATCCTTTATGCCAAAGTCATCTCCAAGCCAGGGCATGCCTCTTTTGAAAACATTCTCTATGTCAGACTCAGCATCTACAAAAGCAACCTCAAGTGAGGAACATATGGCTGGAAGATAGAGCAATAAAATTCGTTAAGAGCCTCAATTAGTTTTGCAGTCTGATCATTGCATATAGTCCAATAATGGCTATAAAGATCATTCCTGCTTTTGCCTGATTATATTGTATGGACATGGATGTGCACTATAACCATACGAAACAAAAGGACAGATAATTTAGAGTTTAGAACTATCAGCTGTTGAGAAGGCATATCAAATTGAATTTGACATATCAATGCATGTTATACATGAGGAGTATTACAGTAGCTATTTGAGATCCTCTTGTGTTTCCATTGATCTTTTAGTTTTATTCACAATAATCCAACCATAGTTCAGTTGCATTCTTAGGGTCTTAGGTGTGAGAGTTTGTCCACAGTTGATAAAATATCTCCTCCTAAACTAGTATATGAGCCTTGTGAGCCTCTCCAGCCAATTGCTAATTGGCAGGGGCGGCCCAACCCAAATAGAGGTCCTACGTGAAAATGTTATATGAGGCCTATTAATATTTGTTCAATAATAATATTAGTATTAAATAGTTATCAAAATACTAAAATATATTTATTTAAAAAAATAATTTATTTTGCCTTTTAAGATGCAACATACTAATTAAAATTTCAAATTCAAATCTTGAAAATAAAAATTGTGTTACCCGAAGTCAAATATGAAGATCAAATGTAATGATACATGCTATTTGTTTAAGATAAAAGAGAAACATAATTGAAAACTAGTTTAACTAATAAAATGAAATTTTTTTTTCTGAATGAATATAAAAAAAATAAAATGAGACATTGCTAGATAATATAGTGAAACAATACTATTTTTAATTATGTAAACAATGTAATTAAAAAATGGTAATAAATTTAACTTATAAAAATGTAAAATTATTATTCATACCTACTATATGATAAACAAGTGATTCTAAGAGGCACAATAACTCCCAGGCTCAATGGTCCAGGACATAAGCATTTACCCCAAAAAAATAAAGATTTATAGTATCAGAAAAGTTACATAAACAACCCATAATTGCTAATCTGGCCTTCTTAACTGAAGTATGAACACTTGCATATCTGGATGCAATTCTAGCCGCAAATTCAAGTATGTATGGAAGAATTCACTTTAAGCCACAACTGAAATATCATTAGAGATCTATAAATGGTTCTTTTCCAGTTGAAAACAGAAATGTCCAGATTCATTTAGTCATAAAAATCATAACCATGCAATGATGCGGTGTATTTGCCTTTGGGCGGGGAGGAAGGAAGGAAGGAATGGGAAGTTAACTGCTTTTCCTTTACGGGTAGCATATTCTCTAGGAAAAAGGATTGATAAAAATGACACCCATCAAGTAAATGTTGACTTTAGGATAAACGTCACCCAGGGCTAAAAAGAAAGGAAGTGATATTAAAATGGAAGCTGAGTGGCATTTTGTACAGAACAAGATGCCGAGGCAGAAGGAATCCATGTTTTCGGAGGTGCTCCTACTTTGAAGCTTTTGGTGGCCTAACATGTATACTTGTTTCATAGGCCAGTGTTTGCTGATGATTTAAGCATTCAATATTTTAACATTATTTATTTGACATGTAATGTAACCCATTGGATCCCAATTCTAGAGATTGTTAACAGGGCTTTGTAACAAAACCACTTGAAGAAAGGGAAAAAGGTTTCCATTACATTAGACCTAGATCCCACTAACTGATTTCAGAAAAGTCAAGATCAAGGACTACTCATTTAGGGCCCCTGGATGAATTGATGAGCCCAACGTCATTCTTTCACAGTTTTACAGCATTAGTGAACCATTTTTTTAATTTCAAGCATGAGAAACCTTAACCAGACAAACGCTATCTCCAAACAGATATAGGACTCAAAGTTCCTGTACTTCAGACAAATTGAATGAGATCAGCTGAGTGGTAAACCAAGTTTACCTGGATACCCTGGCTGTTTAGGAAACCCAGGTCTGAAAAATGGAGGTGGGCATATGTAGAAGGGAGTCACAACAGGCTCAATTTCCCAACTCGAAACTCGGCTGGGACGTTCCCCAGCAGTTGACTCATCCCATCCAACCTACCAACAATAAAAAAAAAAGAATTTGGTTACATATAATTGAAAGAAATCCAAGGAAGGAAGCCATTTACTTCATCGGCAATCACACTGGGATTATTTAGGAGCATATTTAAATCTAGGCAAGATTCAAGAATATGGAAAACCTAGAAAACACACTGTCTGAAGAAATCGATGGAGACACCCCGAGGAGACGTGGCAAGTTTTACTATGGGAATATAAGGGCATCTTAGGTTCATCCACATGAAGCTCACCAATAGACAAAACAATACCTGTAGATTACGCCATTGTGAATTCTTCCATCGAACGGGATCCAGGTCACTGATACCAGTAATTGTACCCATGTACCTGCGAACTCCTGACTCCTCAGTCTCGAACATCATTCTAAACCTCATGCCCAGTGAAACTTGGGTGTACGTTGTTTTGTTATACTTGGCTAGTGGAATCACAAACTCAGAAGGGCTGGCCCTGTTAAAATCAATTTATATCCAAGCTTGATATCCAAAAAACTCCACAAATTTAATGACATAATAAGAATTGAAAATTCAAAATACTGCTCTACTACCTTGGATTATAATATATGGTAAACGGGCTACTATTTGCGGCAGCATGAGCTGCAGCAGCAAGAATCCCAATGTGCATGCTGTCACTAGATATGACAGATGAGGAAAGCGCAGGCTGTTGTCTATTAGCACGTTTGATGCCCAAGAGGAGCTGCGACTTTTCATCTCTACATCCAAGCACGTTTTCTCAGCTCATTGACTGGAAGGATAATGCAGATCTTTAGAAATTATTTCCTATATCTTTCCCATACCTTATGAAAAGGACAGAGTCACCAGCAAAGAGTCTTTTAGAGCTAACGAAGACACTCCAACCTGTAGTCAACAAGTGCCTTTTTGGTTGACCTGAAAGTACGAAATGCTGTCTCAATGTATTATTCCAACTTTCAACAAATATTAAAACAAAATCTAGATAACGCATGTTGTAAGGTGCATCCTATATATCTCCAACATCCAAATTTTAGCATACAAGAACATGTGCATCCCTTTTTGAGTTACATAGGGAATATAATAAAGAAACATATAGAGCATCACATTGGCAAGCATGAATGGCTTTTTTCAAAAGAAACCATTCAGAAAACTCAAACTATTAAGCTAGATAAAAAAGGTCAACTCATTGAACCGCAATTTAAATGTTTGCTGTCAATATCTGTCTGATTTAATAGCTTCTTTGTCCCTCGCCGGATAGGAAATTACAAATAGATCTACAATATTTAGAACTTAAACATACTCTTCTTCACAAAGAAAAAATTCAGCAATAACAGAAAGATATCAACCTAAGCACCAATGGAGCATGGGACCCATCATATCAAAATCACACGCTTAACAGGGGCAAATTTCAAAAGGAAAAATACCTCGATAAATATGCCTGAATGTCCATGTTTGGTCATGCAGATCTTTAGCTACTAGCTCCTGACAAGGGGGTTGCATTGAAAAATCCTACCAAACACAGTCCTGGTCAGCACCGGAATGGGCAAATATGCAATTAACTTCTTTTAAACCAAAATGATAGTTTTAAAAAGTATTGCACGTACCAGAGCAGGGAAGATCTTCTCAGCTGCTCGTCGAGGAACAGAAAATCCACCATGAGTGCTTGTGTCACTAGCAGTAAGAGTTTTGCAGAAGAACTCCGAAGGTTGCCTGCTTTGCTTGAGGCCCATATCAGATACAAGTAACGCTTCCTGGTCATACTGTTACATCAAATGCTTGTTTAGATGAATTCTTACCCTTGCAACCCCCCCTTCCCCTTTTTCTCTAAAAAAGTGCCGATGACTAATTAAAATCAAATAGTTGACCTACTTTGCTCACTGGTTGTAGAGTCATCTGAGCATAAACCTCATCAGTTTCTGCATCAGCCTGATCAAAACGAAAAGCCAAATAAGTTACCACGTAAGCCATCAGAGAATTAAATCACTGCAACTTGATCACATGCATCTAACTTTTAAGATTGCTCTATATCAACTCATCCTGGGTGAGGTAACGAAAATACACTCGGTCCACCTAAATCTAACTACACTGATGATTTAGTGAAAGAGTTTGTTCTGCATAGAAGAAAAGGATATAAAGGGAAAAAAGGAAATTTGATGAATTATAGGTATTTCAATCACATGAATTGGCCCATGCATGCCACTAGAAAGCCAAATTGGTGGAACACACACAAAGTATGTAAAAAGTGATATAGTTTATTTTTCAGGTGAAAACATCAAATTTGTCGTCCTCAGGAATTCAACTGTGCAAAAATGCTGTGAATAACAGTGAAAGCTCTTGTACATGTAAGGTCACATTACGAAGCATGCAGATCAACTTGGAAGGAAGATTAGGATAGCTTGGGATGCTATCAGTCTCCTTTTGCATAGAAGCTGCCACCTGAGAGTTGCAAACGTCAGAGAAACTTCCATCAGAAACCAGAATTCAAATGCTGTTATAATTCTAGAACCAAGACAAGGTACCATACTTGTTCACTGTGACCTTGAGGAAAGTAGACCACAAGACTTCCAACGAGAGGCAAAGAAACCAATGGCCCCGCGCAAGCATGCCATAACTCTGAATTAATCACCTTCCTTTCTCCTATTTCAATCCAACAACGAAATTGTGATGTGAGTCGTGACTTACAATATTGCATAGAAATTATAGCCTAGATAGGATTAAGTAGACATTTTCATGTAAGGCTCCATATGTGTGTGTAATCCTTGTGCCAGGGCCACACTTCTCTCAGTCTTGTTCCAATTTTATTGGATGACCCAAAGGGACATGGCAAAAGGAATCAATTTTGAAGTCCCTCTTTCAATCCACATAGCAATAAACAGAAAAACCAAGTACCCCAATACTTTCTTAGAACCAAATGATTAACTTGTGTTCTTTTAACCTTGTATATTTGATACCAATCCAATATACCACAAACGTAACACTCTGGCTGTAAAGTGTGTTGTACAATGAAGGTCTAAAGCTCTCACTTAGGTACACTCAATATCCACTTCACCAGGCGATGTGAGATTAGATTATTACAATCTGCCCGCAAACCAAAATTTCCTCGTTTAGGCCCCCCATTAGATCCAGGGTGATGTAAGATTCTGTGAGATCACTCCTTTCACGCTAGCTGCCATCGCCTCAAGCTACTGCTCAACATACAGAGGTGCACTGAGGTACGCTATATTGTCTTTTGTGGGCTGGATCCTCACAGCTCTAAAACACGTATAAATGATGATTCAAAGCTCACACTTATATACCACTCCACACCCATTTCACCAAGCGCCATGGAATTAGATCATCACAGTAAATGGATAAAACATACACCTAACTTTGAATTTTTTTAGATTTATGAATTATGTGTTTGTGTGTAGCCCAACAAGAATGGGGAAGAAATGGAGAAAAACTGAACCAACCCATCACTCCTTCAAATTTTTTATTTTTTGGTGGGTTTTATATTTATGCACCCTCTAAATGTGCAGATATGTGAAAGGTAAGACTGAGTTGCAGTAAACTCCATAACAGTCATTGAATAGGCTGAGAATTGATTACTAAGGTCATTCATATGAAGAGCTACAACAAGACATAGTTGAACAGAAATCTTATCAACACAGTGAGAGTTTGTAAATAAGAAACACCACATACCTTCTCCTGAATTTGCGAGATAACCATTTGATGGAGCCTTCATTTTGGGAAATTTTTGAAGTCCAACTCTGCTCGAATTAAAAGTCACAGGCCTATAAAGTTAACTAAGCTCGTTCTGAATAAGTCACAGGCTTGAGAATCATGTAAGCCAAGTTTTTCAGCAGTCAGATAATTACAGCTACAAAGATTCTTTTCTTCCTTTTGGTCTAGCTTTGCTGCTCTGTAAAAGGTTCCCCAATTCACACTGAACCCAAGCAATCAATGCCCATCTTCAAATGCAAAGAACAACTGATTTCGCCACCAAAAATTGAATTATCCTCGTTCCAAATTCGTGATTCCTTCAGCTGAATCAACCAGAGACCACTGAGAAAACAACAGATTCAGTTTGAATTCCGAATTCCAAAAAAAAGCTGCTATCAATACGAAAAACTCAAAGCTTAGCGTTGGTCACATATGGCGGTTGGCGCAGGAACCGCCGTTGATGTTCGGCGGAGAGAAATAAGGAAGATTTGACAGTTGATAATACCGAAAAGGAAAAAGATAGGAAGGAGAGAGTAGGGTCCATTAGAGGAGGTGAGGGTGGCAGATTTGGAGGAGCGGCAGGGATCACGGTGGTGGTGGTGGAATCTGAGGAGTCGCCGTAAAATCCCAAGCCAAGAAAAGCGGAGCGGCTTTTGTACAGTAGTGGTAGAAACTACGTGTTATATTATTATATTATACTGTTAGCCTCTGCTTTTGGAAGAAGCCGACATAATTAAATATGGGACTGCGGTGCAGTGCAGTCCCACTCCCACTGGAGGAGAGAGAGAGGGGATAAAATAAGAAGGCGTGCTTTGCTCTTAGCCGACATTTTTCATTTCCTTCTCCCTTAAATTCCTCTTCCAAAACTTACCTCAGATTCCCACTTTTACTTAATTTCATATTTCCATATACAAATCCAATCCTGCTTCGCCGCCCTGCCCTCTTCTAACCCCATCCCATTCTTCATTCAAATGATAATTAAATTTTTTGTTGAAAATTTTTTATGAAATTGGAGGGGATATCATCCTACTCTTATTATAATATACTTCACATTAATTGAGATTAGTTTGTACTATCTCTGTGGTGTTTTTGAGGCCCGGAGGTTCGATCCATACTAATAACAACTATTACTTTGAAAGAAAAAAAAAGAAGATATTAATAAGAACCATTGAAATTGAACCATACGGTATAATTTAGACATTTTATATAATAAGACGAATTTAGATCTTTTTCATTGTTTTTTTTTTTCTTTCAATTTTTTTACTAGAAGATCATCAATCATTTATAAGCTTGAGTTTCACTAATCTCATTTTAATTCATGATAGATGAACTATCAATATAAAAGTTATATCATAAATGATGTGACAAAACTAAAGAGTGATGGGGAAGTGTCCTCGGCATAGTGGTCTTAAAATCTCCATGGAGTGACACATGTCTTCAGTGCAAGTACTCTCAGGGCTCCTAGTGACTGACACGTGTTCTCTACGTACATAACTACTGAAGCGTTGCCTGTTTAACACGTGTTATCGATATTTGGGTCCCTAAGAGCATTCGTTGCCTAATACGTATCCTCAGCGTTCAGGTACTCTCGAGGAATTCTCCACCCGACATGTGACCTCAGCATTAAGCCCCCCATGTCAGTGTAGTGCGACCAATCATTCTAGTGGTTAGCCTCTACCAAATGGCTAAGTTCTTAAAAAAAAAAAAAAAAAAAAAAAAAAGAAGAAGAGGAGGTGAGCTGATGCAAGCATCCCAATAATCAAGGTCAAGTGGAGCATCACCTCTTGGATATAGAGTGAATTGTCAATCATCGATTCCTCATTTTCAAGGTAATTAGAGTGATAGGAAGACAACTCAGTAGCCAATAATAAGAGTGTATGAAGTACAAAATACAGAAAACATGACCTCCTGAAGGACAATGGACGAAAATGCCCTTACGCATGCGCAACCACAATTAGAGCACATTAAAGGACTCCCACATAAGGATGAAACATATTTATTGCTCAACAAAATCTGAAAGACAAGCATTAAGTGCATGAAAATCCAAGCATTAAATGCGGAAGTTTCTATCACGTGAAACTGAGCACCAACTGTTACCTTTCAAGTGAGCCAATAAGGAGTCTTTCCTCCAAGAGACTCAGCCGTCCGCAATTATTGACTCAAAGAAGGTATAAATAACACTCTCAAGCTCAAGTTTAAAATACGCAAAATCTCACCTAAATAATAGAACAATATTTTTTCAACCCTCTCTTATAAACTAACTTGATCGTCGAAGAAGTCATGTCGAAAAACACTCTTGACGCATTTCTAACTTTTCTTTTTGAGCGACAAATTTTTATTGGAAAACTTATGAGTGAACAGATCATTCGTAAAAAGAGTTTGATCACCGTTTTTTACTATTTCTCAACATCCATTTGCAGTGAAACTTTCGACCTTCCAGACAAACTTGAGTTCATCAGTAGAAAAATCTGTCATTTTGTTCATTGTGCCAGAATCATCAACTCCATATTGAGCAACTTGAATTAGTTTAGTCCTAATTTATAAAGTTAGCAATTAAAAAACGTGTAATCATTTACAAAAACATAATACTTGAGTGCTCTAAATATATCTCATGCATCATATATATATATATATATATATATATTGACTTTATCACACCTTATATAATTAAATTAGAAGAAATCATCACTGGGCAGCTTTGCTAATGCCATTTGAAATAAAATTGGGCTCATGAAATTGAAATGTTGTTTCAAAGATTCTTCCACTATCATAAAGTTTCAATAATCACGAACCGTCACGGCGCCCCCCTCCACTTTTCCTCGCGTAAAGCTTTTTCTTTTGGAGAAAAGCTACTTGTCCAGTAGAATCTTAATCATGCTTAGTTGTTTAATTATACTTTAAAAGGGTGGTGTGCAATGTACAAAATCATCCTAATTATGAGATTTGTAAGTCCAATATATGCTTAATTTTTTTTTACATATATAATTACTTATATTTATTTCTTTCTTAGTTTTCTTGTATTTCATATCAAGTAGGGATAACATTACAAAACCCATTTTTACTATCGCACCAAAAATAACTTATAAGTAGCATAGTTTTTTTTTTTGTTTGTTACAGGGTGTTTAGATTTGTGCTAACTACCTTCTCGAGTTCTAAGTCGGCCACCGTAACTCAAACTAGATTAAGGACATATCTCTTAAAAAACAATGGTAGCTGACCTTTAAGGAGTGTGAGAAGTATCGAATCTGAAATTTTTTGTTTACAAGAGGACAGATTTGACCAATAGATCACCCCTAAAGGGTTGTTTGGTAAGGGGGGTATGAGAGAACTTGGCAAGATAAATTTGGAAAAAATAGTCTAAAGGACCCTCAAATCTCATGTTTAAATTTCAAATTCAATCATAGGTTTTAAAAAACGGCCCGTAGCTGACCTGAATATTAAACTCATAATCATGAGTTTCGTCAAATTTAAGGAGGGGATAAGTTTGGAAAGATGGGTTAAGGGGTAAAGAATACAAAAAACAATTGTACCCTTACCATGAATATGAATTGAATTGATCAATGGACAAAATAATTATTTATAGGATAAATAATTGTTAATAATTATGATATATATGTGAAATTTACATATGTATATGTTATATACTAAACATGAGTATAGACTGAATTCGATGTTGAATTTCATTTTTGTAAAGAGATATTTAGATTTGAAAAGATTTGAGAAAGTCAATCTAAATCTTCTCCAAAAATTCATCCAAACAAACCGTAAGAGTTGTAGGTAGCGTAGTTGAAACCATCACATGGAGTTGGGAAAAGGTGGTTTGGTTTATAACGTCTTAATCAAATAATAAAAAAAAAAAAAAAGTAAATTAAAAGAGAGGAATTTTTTTAGCACGATGAACTGGCCGCTAGCCGCAAAAACCGGAGATTATTCACATGCCATAAGCTATGGAGCTGCGACATTATTAGAGTTCAATTAAAGTAAAACTAAATAAGTACTTGTTTGGCCAACTACTCCAATAAAAATGAAGGAGAGCCGTATTAAGCTTTGACTTTAGGCTTGCACATTAAGCTCGGTGAAGTGGCTTTGAACTTGAGGTATATTTTTTATAAAAATAATATTATTTAAACTTAAAATTTTGACATAATTTATAACTCACCAAATTTTTATAAAATGCCACTAGGGTTTGGAATTTGGAATGATCACTCACATTGTTCACAAAACGTAGTTAATTTTTCATGAGCGGTGCGAGACATGATCAAAAGCAACAACCAAAGAAACCGAATTCTTTTAGATCATTTCTAATTTTATGAAGTGGACAAAGATCCAAGCCTTTTGATCATTTTTCAGTAAACTTGTTGATTCCTAAGAGAAAGCTCTCTCATTATATTCAATAATTAAAAGTTACTCAACTCTAAAGGCATACAAGAATATAAATAAACAGTACCAGAAACCAAAAAATAATTTATAAAATAATAAAATATGGTCAAATTATCGTTAATTACGTAATTAGACAATTTGTGCTGCCAAAAAAATGAAAATTTCAAACTAAATATACTATTCAAAACTACTAATATATCGGATTAAAGCAGAACTAACAGTGATCAATTTTGACTTAAAAAACATATTTTTTAGACTCAAAACGAAAGAATTTTGTCGCACCGTTTCCGACTAGATATGGGTATTTTAAAATTCATATATATGAAAGTAACTTTGAAAAAGTCAACTAATTTGACCTGTCTAACTTACCTCTATATCGATCACAACAATCCAAAGTACGGTGTTATGATCCGATCGTTATCAATGATCATGTTCACGTTGCAAACAAATAAATTGTGACAGCAACAACAACCACTAAGTTATTAATTACTTATAACATTTCTCATTCAAATTCATGCCACCCAAAAAGCATAGACAATCAATCATAAAAACGTTATTAATGGATGGTATCGTATTTTCTAAATCGTGTAATTGGGGACTCCTCTAATATATATTTTTTATTGTATATTTTTTTTTTTATAAATTATCTACCATGAATGACTGAGATACTCTATTATATACATTGAATTTCACTTGAATTCACAACAGATGAATTTTTTTTTGTTTGTTATAGCGTGTTCAGGCTTGTGTTAGCTATTTCTTCGAATTTAGATATTTGTTACCGTAGTCCAAACTAGTTTAGAATATGTCTTATAAAGAATAAGAATGACTAACCTTTAAACAACATATGAAATGATGAATATGAGATCTCTAGATTACCAGCGGACAAACGTAACCACTAAATCACCGTTAAGAGTTCAAGGTGGATGATCTACCAAAAGACAAACAGAGAGAAAACTTATTAAAACAGTTGTGTCATGTCAAAATATATCTAATTTATATCCAACTTATTTATAATATTGCATACATAAGTTCCTATTGTGCATACCCCTTGTTTAATCTTGTGTGTGTTCGTGTGAACTCATTTAATATTCAAATTCAAATCTACTAAAGGGTTCATTTAGTTGCCGTATTAAAAATAAATGGATTAGATAAAATAATTTGATCTAATACAATACAGAAGGACAAAAGACAAAATTAAATATGGTATTAGAATAATACATAATTTTATTTAGTGTTTGATAATACACAATATAAACGTTGGATAATAATTATTTAATTCAATCGGTTGTTTGGTTAAAGAATTATTTTATAGTATTAACGATGAATTAATAAAAATACTTTCAATCAGTGTTTGTTACATTGATGACAATTTGAGTTTATCAGTTAGAAGGTTATAATAGTAAATGTGCA